ACCCACCTAAAAAAAAATGAAATATTAATAATCGTTTTGTTAAAAGTATTTTAAAGAAAAACAAAGAAAAACTTACCGAAATTCATGTACAAAGAGCCAAAGAACCAACTATCTAATAAAAAGAAAGAGAACAAACTGTCAGTAAATGTTCACTAGAAGACAGAGTAGAAAATTTGCGCTTACCAAAATTTCACGTCCAAGGAAACCTAAAGAGCCGCCTAAAAAAATGTAAAATGTTAATAATAATGTTTGTTTAAAGAAGGATAAAATAAAAAAAAATTGCACATACCGAAATCTTGTGTCAAAAAAATTTTTTGAAATTTTGAAACTAAAAAAAGTTAAAAACTCGAAATTTTTCAAAAAAGTCAAAAATGAAACAGCTTGATTAAACTTTTAAAAAAGAAGTTTGACAGTTTGATAGAAAAAAAATAATAATTAAAAAAAGCACTGATAGTTCGATAGAAACTTTTTTTTAAAAAAAAAATTACTCAAAAGTTTAAACTTCTCAAAAAAAAAGTTTCTCAAAAGCTTAAACTTTTCAAAAAAAGAAAAAAAAATTAGATAGTTCGATTAAGAAAAATTAAAAAATTTCAAAAGCTCAAAACTTTCAAAAAAAAAAAAATTAAAAAAAAAGAAGGTTTGATAGTTTGATCGAAACTTTTAAAAGAAAATTAAAAAAAATAGTTAAAAAGTTTCGACTTTGATCAAAACCTTTAAAAGAGTTTTAGTTTGAAACTTACTAAAAGGCTAAATCCACTCGTCGTAACACATGTGATGTACAAATAACCCTTTTAATTTTTTATAATAAAAATTAATAAAGTATGTGATAAATCAATAGTAAATTTTAGTACCAGCAAAATCATAAGCAATAAAATTATAATAATAAATTCTGTAATATTGTAAGCGATAAAAATTAATAAAATTTTACAATTAATTAATTTAATTTAATTTAAGTATCAAGTTAGATGTGTATTTAAATTTTAAATTTAAGCTATTTTGTTTAATTAAACGCGTATTTAATTTAAGCTATTTAATTTAATTCAAGTATTAAATTTAGCTATTTAATTTTTAAAAAGCTATTAATTTAAACTATTTTATGTATTAAATTAGACGAGTATTTAAGTATTTAAGTCAAAAGAAAATTATATATATATACAGTATATATGTATTAATTGTAATTTTTTTAAATATAAAAGTACAAGATCATAAAGTTTATTTCCTAAATTCCTAATCTATTTTAAATAAATTTTTATTTTCCACACCTAACTAATATAAAAAGAAAATTATACCTATAAAAATTATAAAAATAAGCACAAATTAGAACAAAATTACAAATGTTTCAAAATCATTATGCTCCTCTTAACCATTGTAAGAAATCGCTATAATACATATAATCCTATCATATATCGAATGAAAGAATTACTAAGCAGATGACGTCATATAACTTTTCAGTAAAATTCAATTCATCAAGTAAATCACGTGATATTATATTAATAATAATTGAACGTCTGAACGATTAATTAAACTTTTTTTAACTCTACTCTTTTCCTGTTTCCCACACTTCCATTTTCACACTTTCGTCTTCCCCTTTCCCAATATTTTTCCTCTTATTTCTTTTTTAGACGACTTCTCAGTTCTTTGGATGTGGTATTCTGGTAAGTTTTGTAATTTTTTTATTTTCTTTATTATTTTGTTGCATTATTCTAAATTACAATATTTTTTTTTTATTTCATTCATGCAAAAAAAGAAAAATTACGCTTTATCTTTTAAAAACAGCTACTAAATCTTTTTTTCTTTTTTTTAGGTGGTTTGTTCTTCAGCTCATGGACGCGTGTGAACTTTAGTGAAGTTTTTCAAACTTATCTTAATGAAACGTTTTGCTAACATTTTGTTATTTTTTTCATATATCGAAGGTAATATCAAAATTTATTTTTGATTTTTATGTAACAAAACATCAACTAACATTTCGTATTTTGCATTTTGTAGCTTAGACAGCTTTGGACGGATGTGGATTTCGGTAGGTTTTTTTTTAACACTATTTTTTTAATGAATTCTTTCATTTTTTTAGACAGTTGGACGTGCGATTTATATTATTTCTTCAATAAAACATTTGCTAATGTTTAATTTTCTTTTTTTTTAGAGACCCGGTTGGTAAGTTTATGAATTTGTTTCAAAAACTTTAAAAAATGTTATTTAACGTTTCTAACTTTTTTTAGGAATCTTACCCGATTTTTGGATTATGGAACAACTATTTCTTTATTTTTTTTGTAGGTTTCCCTTTGGACTTTATTAGATAGGCGGTAAGTTTCAAAACTAACTTTGAAATTTTAATTTTTTCTATTAAAAAATCAAAGTTGTTTACTGTAGTCACTGATGATAGAAGCTTTTAAAACTATACGGTCAATTTTTAGTCATCCATACAACAACCAACAGTTTGCCTTTGTTTCCGTTAATGGATTCGAAATTACCAATCAAACTGTGCTGGAATGCCCTGTGTTCAAGCTCCAGTCTGTGAATAGATAACAACGTGTCTTTCCTATGAGCATGATTCCGTCATACAAGTACTATGCATTTTATTCACTATTGTAATGAGAATGAATGCATTGATGGTTACAATCTAGAAAACGAAAGAAATCTTTATTTCTTTAAAGATGCTTAAATATGTATTTTATATGGTTTATTTTGATTTTACATTTACAATTAATTATTACAAGTAATTTGAGTTATCTATACTCAGTTTATACATGAATAATGTTTCGATATGATTTATCATATACGTGGCCACAATGTGATTAAGATTTATTATAAAAGCTGTTATAGTGTAATTAAGATTTATTCTATATATGCCTACAATGTAGTTATAACGTTTTTAAGAAGACACTGTAATTTATTAATGATTTATTAAAGTTTTATTACATAATTTGTTATGCCAATCAACAATTTATTGAATTTTATTTACATAATTAGTTATGATGAAGCTACGATATATTATATAAGTTGCTATCGATGATATTGCGATTTATTGACGATCTGTGAATATCGCCTTAATATCCAGTAACTAAACCTATGACGAAGCCATAACTAACTCATGACTAACTCATGACTAACATGTGATTAACTCTTTTCCTGATTGTTTACAAGTTGGCCATGGTTTAGTCACGACTTCGTCTTGGTTTGACATGTTTCTGTAAAGTAATTTCCACATTTGAAACTCTTTTTCTTTTTTTAAAAAAAAGACAAAATGTCTACCCAATTTTTTTCAAAATTAAGTCAAAACTATATTGAATTATTAGATGATGATGAATATTATGATATAACAATTGAAGTTGGAGAGGATCCTAACATAAAAATCTTTCGTGCTCATATGAATATTTTGTGTTACCGGTCTTCATATTTACGACGAACTTTTGCTTCTAATAAAAAAAATAAGGATAATGTTTTAACTCATATTAAATTATCAAACATATCACCTGAAATCTTTCAGATTATTTTAAAGTAAGAGTTTGTATAGAATAAATTTTTATGTAATAACATAATCTCAAATTTTTAAATATTCAAATTATTTTAAATTTAAAATTCAAATTTTTTGTATAGGTATATCTATGGTGGTATTATTTCATTGAATGAACAAGACACTTCGAAGATTCTCAAACTATTATTGGCTGCGGATGAGCTGCTTCTTCAAGAATTAGTTGATTATTTACAAAAATATTTAATTGAAAATAAAATCGAATGGATGGAACAACATTTTGAGCTTATTCATAGAACAAGCTTTCAATCAAATTCTTTATTAGAACTTCAACAATATTGTACGGATTTTATGGTAAAA